TTATCTACATCGACATAGCGGCTGATCTCTGAAAAGCGAAAACTATTATCGTAGTTGATGGAAAACTTTCCTGTCACCGCTCTCTTTGTGGTGATTACGATCGCGCCGGCACTCGCCTGGCTACCGTAAAGAGCAGTCGCTTCTGGCCCTTTCAACACTGTTACCTGGTCGATATCGGCTGGGTTCAAGTCAGCGATACGATTGGTATAGTCACTGTTCCTGTTCGGGCGATCCGAAGCAAGACCGAGTGCAGTACCACCGTTCGATGTTTCATTGATCGTTGAGTTATCAAGGATGATACCGTCAACAACAAACAATGGCTGGTTATTGAGAGAAAGTGTATTGAATCCGCGTAGTACAATCTGGGATGAAGCACCTGCCTGGCCCGTAGTAGGAGTGACCGAAACACCGGCAACCCTACCCTGTAAACTATTCAGGAAGTTTTCACGCTGTGTTTCCGCTATCTCCTTACCGCCGATCTTTTGTGCGGAATATCCCAACTCACGGGAATTTCTTTTTATATCCATCGCGGTAACCACTACTTCACCCAGCGTTCCATCAACCGCTTTAAGAGATATACCAACAGTGCTGCCTGTTGGTTTTACATCCTGTGGTTCATACCCTACATAACTTACCTGTAAGGTTTCACCTTCATTCACCTGGATCGTGAACTTACCGTTTGCGTCGGTTTGCACGATCCTCCGGGTGCCCTTAACCCTGATTGTGACACCACTCAGCGGCGTCTTGTTGTCATCAGACAATACCGTACCCGTGATCGTCTTTTGCTGTGCATGCAAAGCCGGCGGCAGTACAAGTACCATCAGAAAAAATGCTACTAATAACCGGAGAAATTTTCTCATAGCTTGTTGTTTTAGATATATTTTAATAAGCAGTTCCGTAATTAAAATTGCTCCTCTGCCCGGGTGTCCGGGTGATGAACAAATGAACAAACATAGGTGCCGGTAAAAGCATCGTATTACAATACTTTAATTCCAGCTTCGGTATAAGGTTTTAACAGCGGGTCATCAGAGGGTAGTTCCGTGATCAGTATATCGATCTTACTGAGGTCACATATATGGATTGGCTGGAAAGTATTGATCTTTTCAGCTATGGATAAACAAACAACCTTCTGGGATGACTCAATCATCGCGCGCTTCAGCTGCACGACTTCCCAAT